GACACTGTGTCACCCATCTCCCTTTCCATGGTGTGCCGGCGGGCTCACCGGTACATCGGCAGGACATAGGGAGGCATGTTTTGGCTCTTCAATGAGAGCCATTGCAAGTGGTTCAGTTCCTGCAGATTTCAGCATGAGTGTGCACTTTGCAGAGGTGCGCATTCCGCGATGCGCTGTTTCAAGAAGGGCAAGCCCAGTGCGACAAAGTACCTTCCTCGACGGGAGGACCCCAGTGACCACGGGAAGGATGCGCCCATGGCTCGACCGATATCCTAAACGGGATGATGCTGAGGTGTTGTTGTTTGATGGGTTTACGCTAAGTTTTTGGATCACTTTCGTAGCATCGGATAATCTTCAGTCGATTCAGGGTAAGGATGATATCCTTCGGGAAAAATGTATTGCCTTTTGATTCCCCCCTTTCCCAATTTGAGGGTTTCTCCACCGGGTTTGGTCCTCAAGAAAGAGTCTGGGTCCTTTCGCTTAATTCAGCACCTGTCAGCTATGACATAGACAAGGCAGTTTGTAGGGTTCGCTATATGTTGTTTGACAGGGCGTTGGAGCTGGATCGGTGGGCAGGGGCGGGTGCTTGGTTGGCCAAGTCCGACATCGAGTCTGCTTTTCGGTTGTTGGCGGTACACCAGGCTTGTTTTCACTTATTGAGCTGTTTTTGTCAGGGTATTTTCTACTAGGATATGTGCCTACTTATGGGTTGTGCCATTTCTTGTTATAACTTCAGACTGTTTGCTTCCTTTTTGGAGTGGGTGACAACCCTCAGGGCAGCTCTGGGGTCCATTACTTACTATTTGGACGATTTTCTTTTCTTTCGTTTTGTGGTTCCGATTGCAGAACACAAGACGGTCGATCCGGCGTCGCTATTGTCCTTTCTGGGAATAGAAATCGATACCGTTAGGATGATCTTTTGGCTCCCGGAGGACAAGCTGGTGGTCTTGTTGCGCCTGGTCAAGGGGTCAAAAAAGGTCCAGCTGCGCCAGATGCAGATGTTGTTAGGTCACCTAGCATTTGCATGTCGGGTTCTTCTCATGGGTAGGGCTTTTTGTCACAGGTTGTCGTTGTTGACGGTAGGGGTACGAGAGCAGTTTCATTATATTCTGGTAACTTGCCGCTCACAGGCAGATCATCAGGTTTGGAGTTCTTTCCTCGGTTGCTACAATGGTCACTCCTGAAAGCTGCGGGAGGCTACACCCAACTCCGAGTTGGAGCTATTCACGGATGCTTCGGGGTCCGTTCAGTATTTCCGAGGGTCAGTGGAGTGCGGAAGCATGGCCCAACGGCTGGCGTGCCTCCGAACTTATACGGAACTTGACCTTTCTGGAATTGTTTCCCATCGTTGTCTCCTTGGAGTTGTGGGGTGAGGGTCTTAGGAATCGCACAGTGGTCTTTTACATGGACAACATGAGTGTTGTCCATGTGATCACCCATTCATCATCCTCCTCTCCTCCGGTATTGGTTCTGTTGTGTAGGTTTGTCCTGCTTAGTTTGCAATTCAATGTGTGGAAGAAGGCCTGTCATGTTCCGGGTGTGCAAAATGCGATGGCTGACTTTCTGTCTCGGTTTCAGTGGGTGTCAATGGCTGTCGCTGGGGGAACGCGATAGTGGAGTGTCTTTGGAAGCCGACCGCCTCGAGGTGACTTTGTTGTTTCTAGAAGGTATGCTTCGGCGGCGTAGGTCTTGTGCGGCTGCAGAGAAGGCCCTAGCAGCGTTGTCCTTTCTGTTCTGGTTTGAGGGGTGGCATGACCTGTCAGAAGATTTTCGGATTCAGCATATTCTATGGGGTTTGAGGTGTCCAGTTCACAGTCAGCCTGATTTGACGGATCTGTTGTGGCGCATTGTGTCGGTTTTGTCAGTTATCTGCTCGTTGGAGCTTGAGGCGCTTTTGTTTAAGGTGGCGTTTACTTCAGTTTTTTCAGGCCCTTTAGGGTAGGGGAATTGGTTGCGCCTTCGGATGGTTTCGCCTTTGTTACTGGCTGATGTGCGGTGGTCTGAGGCATCGATCGACATCTTCGTGCGTCGGTCTAAGATGGATTGTGTGGGACAAGGTGCTTGGGTATGTATCGGAGCTACAGGTGGGGAGTATTGTCCGGTTGGGTAGTTCGCGCTGTATTTGCGCGTTTGACAGGGTGGGGGTGGTCCCCTTTTGGTACATGTAAATGGGTCCTCGCTCACTCGCTACCAATTCACAAACATATTATGGAGGGCTTTGGTGACTTGCAGAGAGGACGCGCAGGGGTACTCGGCCCATTCCTTTCAGATTGGGGCCGCCAAGCAGGTGAGTTTGCTGGGCTTTCCGACCTCTGGTATTATGCGTATGTGCATTCTTTGGCAAGCGGAAGAACGCACATATGGATGAAATTTCTGGTTTTCCTTCGAGGTAGCTAGGGATAGGTGGTGAGGAATTAGGGGTCTCCTCTGGCAGCAGGTGTATTTGGAGTGCATGGCGCTGCTCAGATTTGTGCCCAGTTACTTTGGTTATCCATACAGGTGGCAATGACTTGGGGCGTCTTAGGACGGTGGATCTGATACACGCAATTCGGCACGACCTGGTCATCAGGTGTTTTGTGCTATTTACAGACATCACGTTAGTGTGGTCAGAAATAGTGCCCAGGCTGTGCCGGCACAAGCTTAACATGACGGTGGCCAGGTTCATGCATTGTCTTGGAGGGGTGGTGGTCAGACACGTGAAGTTGGAAGGAGACAATGAAAACTTGATGCGCAGGGACGGAGTCCACCTAAATATAATCGGGTTAAACATCTTTAATACAGGCTTGCAGGCGGGGGTAGAGGCTGCGCTGTCTGCGGGGGAGGACAATGATGACTAGGTATAGCAGTTATGGGTCATCATCGCAGTGGCGGGAGTGCTGGCCAGCGCAGTCATAAGCGGAAGAAGGTGCCGAAGCGGCTTGGGGAGTTGCAGCATACTGAGAGCTGATGGCGGGGGCAGGCTGCTGGGGACTCATGGTTTAATGGGATAGATCTGTCTGTTGGTGAAGCATCCTAACAGCCGACAGGGTTAAGAAGTTGCTGGCATTTGTTAAAGAATAAAGCGGTGGCCGTTGCCCTTACCCAACATACTATGGTCTCACGTGTTTTATTGGGGTTTGGTTGTTGGTTTAGTCAGCAGTCATGACAAAGCATCATGGAAGTTGTAGGTTTAAATCTACCTTTTAGGCACCCCTGATGTAGGATATATATCCAATGAAACAACACATACCCAAGAACACATTCCATTTACCTTTAGGGCAAACAGAGAGTTTTACAAAGTCGTCGACTGCCATTACCAACCACAATTGGATGGGTTTCTTCAATTGTTTGGAAGTTAAACTTCCCCATTATCACATTGGTGATTAAGGCCAGGGGTAAAGTACTGTAATAGTTAAAGTTTTTGATGAGTGGTGTTACCAATAGTCGTACAATAACCACTAAAATAAGCTAATAAACTGAAATGCTTATGATATTTAGACTGCCATTCAAGTCAAATGCTCCACTCGCTCATTAAAATTAATTCTAAAGAGCAGGATTGGCTGAAATATGCGAATTTTGGCTAAGTAGGATGTCATTGCAGATACTGTGGGTTTGCAGAGAACATGGGGTATTTTGGGTTGAGTGTCATATACCAGTATTTCTCTTAAATCTATGAATGTTGTGGAACAATAACATTTTCAGATCAATACAATTAAATGCAACAGATATCAGAAGAGAAGAGCGTTAGTTTAGTTTTGTGCGATGTAGTCCATCGCACAATTAAGCGTCACAGCATTTAGGCTGAAATCCGTTATTAAAAGTAAACTAAAAACTGCTGAATTATTTAACAAAATTGTTAACAAGAAGAAACAGAGACCATTTTTATGCCCTAAGGATTTATGTAGAGCTATATTTTTCATTGACATATCCACTTGAAATATGACAAACCGGAACCATATATTAAGAAAACCGTTTAAGTATTTGTTCTGACAATGCGATAGTTAATATTAATCACATTGGTAACACTGCATGATGATTTATCAGAAAACAGATATAAATGTGCCTTAAAAATCTATATTTGCAAGAATTGTTAAACAGAGTGGGTGGATGCAAATGTCACATAGATGCATAGGGCAAAGGAAAACGGTCCTTTCATATCATCCATCTGTTTCCAGTTTTGGATGTGTGTACTAAGAGGATGAAGAAATCAAATGTGTATTCTTGTTTATGATATGCCAGAACAAACACTGGCTGCTTAGTGAAAATAGAAAAACGTAAATGCACACAAACATGAGAAATAATGTCTTGTACTGTTAAAAAGACAAATTGAAATACAACTAGATAATAGGAGTTGTTTTAAATTCAAATAAATCCACTTTATTTAAATCTTATTGTAAGATATGTGGCAAAAAAATGTCCAAGATGACTCAAATAAAAAAAAAAAAAAAACACACATTCACTAATATTTACCATATTTAGAAATTAAACATTTAAAAGCAGGAATGAAAAATAAAACAGAACAAAACACATTACACATCTGTTGTGAGTATGACTGCACCCCTTCTCAACACACAGCACAGAAAGCAGTTCTGTAGTGCTTTGCTTAAAGGGATCCTACAGAGCCAGGAAAACAAACCCATTTTCCTGGCACTCTAGCCCCCTGGAGTTCCCCCCTCCCTCCTGCCCCCCTCCAACCCCCCTGCAGTGCTGAAGGGGTGAAAACCCCTTCAGCCACTTACCTGAATCCAGCACCAAGGAATACATACGCTCTGCTTACGTTCCCCCCCGCCAACATCGGCTGGCAAGGGAGGCCTAATGCGCATGCGCGGCAATGACCACGCGCCCATTAGATCTCCCCATAGGTCTTAATCAATGCTTTCCTATGGGGAAAATCTGACTCTGGAGGTTTGTGAAGATGTCCAGAGTCAGATAACGGACCAAACGTCAGTTTGTTAGACAGCCACTGAGGGCAGACTTAGTGCTGCAATGTAAACATTGTTTTACATTGCAGCACTAAGTGCAAAAGGGTCACAGCACCCAGACTACTTCAATTAGCTGAAGTGGTCTGGGGACACTATAGACACCCAAACCATTTCATCTTACTGAAGTGATCTGGGTGCAGTGTCCCGGTCCCCTTTAGTCCTGGAAGGTAACTGCAAAGAAAAACTGCAATGTTTACTAAGACTGCCACTAGTGGCTGTCTACCAGACAGCCACTAGAGCAGGGGTAGGCAACCTTTTAGCAGCATTGTGCCGATATAGGATTGTGATGTCCTGTAGCGTGCCGGTCCTATTTTTTTAAATTGAGGTGTGTATGCTTTATACGTTTGTGCAGATTGTGTGTATGGGCTGTTTGTATTATTTGTATAAGGGGCGGTTATTCTTAATTTCTTTAACTTATGAATGTAACTTAGTGATAATAAAAATGTCTATTTACTGTGTATACCTGTGTTCAATATCTACTCAAAATGGCTTCTAGAGCACCCCCTCCCACCGACAAACTACCTTGTGTAACAAGATGGTGCCTACATCCAGAGTAAAATCCTGGGATGATGGTGACTTCACACCTCGTAGGATGTGCATTAGATAAGACATTTAACACCTAACCAGTTAAAGATGTATTCTCTCTGTTATCTACATTTTTGCATATGATGTATTTTTGCCTTTATAAGGGGCTTGCCGCCCCCTGAGTAAACATTCCAAAGTTTTTCATTAACCTGATACCTGCGTCTCAGTGTAATTTACTTCAGAGCGTACACGCATTTATTTTAACAATTTGGAAAGGAGCAGATACTCAGATAAACACTTAGTTTGATCGACAATATCTGTGTATATCTAGCAGTATGGTTGGCTTCCCTGAGTTCCAGTGGGGACCAGACTGGCCTGGTACAGGTCAAAGACAGGTGCTGCAACAGCAGCTGCAGGCTGCTCTACTACGTTGTGGATTCCCATTCACAAGTGCTTGGAGGAAGTGATCTGAGATCATTTCCTCTATGTGCTGCAATGCTTAAATTGAGGGTTGTCCTTCACCATCTTTTTGTATTAGCATATATTTGAAGGTTTACTGGGACTCCTGATAGGCCACAGCCTGTTTGGCTCTAGCAGCCTTGAGTGCCGTGCAAAGACACCTCGAGTGCCGTGCATGGCAATAGTGCCGTAGGTTGCCTACCCCTGCACTAGAGACACTTCCTGGTCTTTCACGGAGTTTGACTCCATGAAATGGACGTTCTCGTGTTTTGCATAATGTGGCTTTAAAATCCAAATAGGAAAGCATTAAATCAATGCTTAACTATGGGAAAGGCCTAATGCATTCACTGCTCATGTGTATTAGTTCCTCCCCCTCAGATGATGCAGCGGAGGTGCACGACCCAGCAACGAGGGACATATGTGCTGGAGTAAGGTGAGTGACTGAAACTATTTAACCCTAACCATTTGTTAATTGTATATGCATTCATCTCTATTACTATAATATCTGTTTTTGGAAGGTCCTAGAGTTTGAAAGAGGATATCTGAAGAGACAGCATCATGAAGACCAAGGAGATGTTAAAGTGAGATAAAGTTTTGAAGATGTACCAATCACAGTTGGGTAAATAAAAAAAAAAAAACTTTGATAATTTCCTTAAATACTGTTACAGACATTAGTAAAATAAATAAATAATGAATATGGCACAACTATGACTCTGCCCAGATAAGTTGTCTACCAAGGTAGGAGGTCATTAGGAAGCCAAGTATCCAAGAGGTCAATATTAATTCTGGGATGTCCACAACAGGGATTGGAGAAGCCCAACTTACTTATTGGTAAGGTGGTCTACCTAGGCTTCTCAGTCTTAAGGCCGTGATTTACCACTGCCCATACAAACTATTTGTCAAGCTGTCTTTGGTCATTGCTAGAGCCACACTCTGAGATTTAGATAAAGAACATATATTCCCCCCAATTGAAGAACATTGACCTTGTGCCACGTTCCCACCAAATGCTCAATATTTTTTTCCAGATTAGTGGAGAAGGGGTTTATTGCTTGTGCTTAAGGGCATGTGGTTCTTAAGGTTAATGTTGTTTTAATTAATACAAATTAAGGCAAGTGTTGTGTTAAACAATAAAATTATGTTATATCAGCTGAGGTTCTGAACACTCCCAGAGCCACTTTAGTTTCAATGTTCCAATACGCCTATAAATAGTATTTTTTTTTATTATTTTACCCTCGTGATGCAGATAAAGGAAAGAAGTAGAGTTGGAAAGTTAGGCAACTTTTAATTGAGATTGATTTAAATTAAAACTGACAGCACTGATACTTTTTGTGAATAGGGTTCATGGAGCTTTATATCAGTTGTGGAAATATTATTCACTGCTAAATAAATTCAGTATAGCTATCAGAATGCCCCAAAGCAGGGTTAACTTAATCTCATGCTACTTGTTGAGTGATGTCATGATTGTAGGTTTAATTGACTCAGCTTGGTATAATTAGTTACCGTGTTTCTCCGAAAATAAGACCGGGTCTTATATTAATTTTAGTCACAAAAAACACACTAGGGCTTATTTTCAGGGTAGGGCTTATTTATTTACGGTACCGGTATGTACATTGAACAACATTTAAACAACATTTAAACAACTTTTCTTCAAATACCGGTACAGTCATTTTCATTTTCCTTTGAACCATTGGTCCTAATCTCTCATTTACAGCAATATATGGTACAGTAGCTCTCCCTACCGTAAACAACATTTATTCAATTACAATCATGTCATCTTCTTCTGGAATATCATCATAACTCTCCAAACCCTGATTGCCAGCCTGAATTTCTTGCATCTCCATTTCCTTTTGAACCATTGGGCCTAATCTCTCATGTAAAGCAATATAGCTCTCCTTAAACGAGTACTTCTTGTCCATGTAGCCTGCTCGTAGTTGTCAGTGATTTTATCCCAAGAATTCTTCACCCATGTCACGACCTCTAGCAGTTTAGGCTTCACAAAGTTTCCACGCTGATTTCTGACCAATCTATTTTCAGTGTATTCATTGATTTCTGTGCGCAAATGGTCCTTGAATGGTTTGTTTATTGCAATATCAAGAGTTTGGAGATAAGCAGTCATTCCTGCGGGAATCATTACTTGATCTATTCTTCTCTCTGCAAGGAAGTTCTTCATGTCTTTTGCGCGGTGAGTGCTGGCTGAATCCCAGACTAGCAGACCTCTTTGGCCACCTCTCAGAACAAGTGGCAGCAGCATTAAATCGATCCACTTTCTTATAATTGCTTGTGTGCACCAGGCCTTTTCTGTTTCAAGAACATAAATGCCTGAAATGCGTTCAATCTTATCTTTCTTGCCCTTTGCGATAATTAGAGGTGTGGCTTTTGTTCCATCCAGACGAATTGCCAAAACACAAGTAACACGTGCACTTTCATAACCAGTGGAGGGAACGTAGGTTGAGGAGGCTCCCCTCTGATCAATTGTTGTTTGAGATCCTTGGCCCATATACACTGCAGTTTCATCCATCGCAATCATGTTGGAGAGTTGGTATTTAGAAAAGTCTATGCCATCAATAAAGAACTTGAATGCAAGTGCACGTTTAACAACTTCATTATCTTCCAGCTTGAACAGTGTTGTCGATCTTCTTAGAGACAGTTCATATTGCTTAAGGAAGCCATCCAGCCAGTGGTGTGATGCTTTGAAATCTTCTGTGGATATGTCGAATTGTGGTGCTATTTCAAGGGCAAATGTTTGAATATCAGCCCTGCGCACAACCAAAGCTTTTGCTCTCTTG